TTATTTTTAGAGGCGAGTGTGGAATTGTAAATTCTCTAGATATGCAACTAGGTGGTGCATCCTATATGATGAGTTATAACAAGCTAGAAAGCTACACCAGTCAACAAACAAGCAAGTAATAACAACATCTAAAGGTAGGGTTAGCGACAATAAAAAGTGATATAATCTGAAGTTCATAGTCTTGGGGGAGTGCTAATCTCTGTTGGAGACTTGTAGAACAACATATGCCTCACCTTAGTATCTGAAAACCTTTGGTAAATGAATTCCCAAGTTCCCTCTCACTAAGGGTACCTCTTGTTAGAGCACACGGTATGCTACACATCCACGAAATAAAAAAAAATTATGGCCCAACCAAGAGCATGTTGTTGGGGATAGATCTCACGATCCGATTTTACCACTACACACATAGTCAAGGCAGTGAAAGGAGAGTTGTTGATGTGCGTCCCGTCACCTCCTCGCAAATCCCTTGTATAGTTCTTCACGAGTCCTTCGAACAATTCGTCAAAGCATGTGCAATAACTATAAGGTGTCCACGCGTTTATGGAGGAAGTCAAGTTATAGACTGCTAGATCTGCTCGCATGGGCATGGAAGCGGTGGTGACTATATAGTGAGACTAGTCAAACACATGTCACAGTCTCGCCCCTCCAGTTATATAGACGTTCAAGACGAGATCAACACTTGAGACCCGTTAGGGACTCCACGCCCACTATCTGATTGAATCCGAGTGGGATCATGCCACATAAGCGTGCGACCCCATAGGTTCACGTACATATGGACAACTCTAATGTGTGACTCCTAGCATACTGTGCCAACTCATGTGTGAGTAAAGTCATTTGATGAATCTTGATAATATGTCACATGCAACATTCATTTTGCCTCACGATATATGTTGTCGAGCTTAAGAGAGTACTTGTCACCCTTTTTGGTAGCTTGACTTTTCTTGGCAAAACTGTGATACACATTCCCAAACCGGGTTAGCACTTAAACTAAATCGCATGGCCATGCTTTTCAAATATGATCACTTGAGAGGGCCCAGAGAATATCTCTCTGAGTTGAAGGGGCAAATCCCATCTTGATCCATGTCTCGTGGCATGTCTCATGACTCACCTGAAAGGTAATTTTATAACTACCTAGTTATAGAGTAGTATTTTATAGTTCAAATTACATGAATTTTTTTATCTTTATTTTGTGCCTACAATGTAGGCTTTGTGAAATTTTACTAGGTTTGCGCATTTCGTTTTGTCAACTTTCCCCATGGTGCGTTTTTGGAAGTAATCGGAACACTAAGAAAATAACTCCAGTAAATGATGAAAAAATCATGTCAATTAATGTGATTAACAACTTCCATAAAAGAATCAAGAAAATTGGAGAAAACTAGAGGCTCCACAAAGTTTCCAGAGTGCAAGATGACATGTGGTACGAGCGAGCGCGTGCGCTTGTACCATCCGCCAACGCCTCCTCTTCCTCGTCTAGTTCCACCACGTGGAATCGGATCAGGGATCAGACACACAGACATCAGAAACTCATACGGAACACATAACCCTAGCCTCCGGAAGGCATCCGGAGGGGGAATTGGCAAGGAGGAAATCATTATTTTCACCATCACATGAAAGGGAACAACGACATCAATCATCTTCATCAATCGTCATCATCGACCCTTATCTCCACCTCGTTGTAATACCAAACCCTTCGTGGATTGCTACATTTATTACTTGTTTGATCCAACCATGCTCATCATGGCTATTCACTTGATGTTCGTCGTTCCTATGTACGAGTAAAACCCCTAATTCTCGGGGATATGGATAAACCTTGGTATGTATAGGTGCTGAAACATTAATAAGGAGATGAGATACTCTGTTGAACTTTTATTTTAATGACCTTCGTGAATGTGTGAAGGGGTCTCACTCGGCATTTCTGTTGAAAGGCCATGAAGCATATCACTGTCGTTGTAAAGCTAGAAGTGAAGGTAATTAGAGGTGACCGTAAAAGCCTTCACTCCTTGCTTTTGCAATTGATAGGGGAATAACGGAGAACCCTTGGCGAAGCTGTGTCCACAAGGAAACCCTTAATTACCATAGTTGTAACTTACAGGGGGGAACTATGGTGGTGGTGTGTCTAGTGCGAAGTCTGCCTAGACTTGAACATATTCTATACCCAAATCTGCCCAGTTTAAATGTCAAGAGTGGCTCAAGTATCCAGTTAGTACTATGTCATTGCATAAGTCATGATAGACACATACCAATGGGATTCCAGACTCCATGAGAAAGCTTTACTCCTCTGTTCTCAAAATATTATTTATCTCTACTCTCAATTTCCTCTAAGTCTATAATTACTTGCAGTAAGAATTCCATAAGCCACTACAAAGGACAACAATCCAATTTTTGTGCTCCCTGTGGGATATATACTCTTATTTTGAAAAAGCTAAAACTAAACGTTGTGCACTTGCAGGCCATCAAACTTTTTCTGGTGCCGTTGCCGTGGAGCTGAGCGCTTTTTGATTTTGTTTTGAGTCTTGATTTATCTTGTGTCCAAGTTTAGCAACCATGGCCAAATAAGAACAACTATACCAGGTGGTTGTTATTAATGTCGAGGGTTCTGCTTGAGGTGAAAATTATATCAATTGGACCAAGCGCAGCTGGTGAACCATATGAAATTAACCCTTGATTACTCGTCATGACAAAAAATATGATATTCCGAGGTGATGGTATGGAGAACCCATACGAACATGTGTATGAATTTGGTGAGATATGCAGGACACATAAAGTACATGATTTTTCTCATGAAGAAATTAAACTTAAATTCTCCTCCTACACTCTGCCTAATGATGCAAAAACATGGTTACAAGGTCAGCCTGCAAGTACCTTCAACACGTGGGATGAATTATCCTCTCCATTCTTGTCTTGCTATTTTCCACAAAGTAATAAACTATATAACGTGATAAGGAAAATTGGCAACTTCCGGCAAAGACTAGGTGAATGTTTCGGAAAAATCTTACCTCCTCTTTTTACTTTTTTTCTTTACTTGAGTATATAACAGCGTGATGTGCACACGTACTTTACTAGCGTTGCGTTAGACGTGCGAAAGCTAATTAGAGGGCTGCTATGTTCATACAAAGGTGCACACGTGCATTTGTGTGCTTCATGCATGCATGTGTATAGATAGCCGCTGCGTGGATGCAACTGATGGCCGCCCAGCCCGCCCCCAGGATGGATCTTTGTCCGGTGTCTCCACTAGACAAGTAGCCGGACAAGTGGACATACGGCAACAAGCCCGTCTACCTCAGACAGGGACAACGGTGGGGGACGAGCGGGTGCTCGAAAGGGTTGACGGACTCGAGGTCTTCGCTAGCTTCGGCGAGATGGGTCAGGCTCTAAGATGAGGCGTGAGAATTTGAAATGGGATGCAAGTGACGTGAGGACGCTGCAAATGTGTTCTTAAAGTCCCCCAAGGCATGAGCGGATGATGAGCGCTGGGCATCCAAGTCACTCACACACCACCCCACGAGCCGGCAAAACTAGCTAGGAACGTCGTCCGGCCACCTCGTTCTACTCTCTGGGCGCAATCGAGGTGCCCATCTTCTCTTTTTTACGCAAATGCCTTCTTTTGCCAGTGTTCGTCTTGCTTTCAACTTGTGGGTGATCTGCAGTCTGCGCATCTGCACTGTTAGTTGTCGAAGGACCGCCGAGTTTCGAAGTCGAGAACACCGCAATAGCTTAGAGCACGCACCGCATTCTCACGTGTCTTAGTTTTGTTGGGTTTCACACTCGGCAAAAAGATCTTGCCACGTGGCACCGGCATTAACAGACCGTTCAATCCTAGTTTGCCGAGTTCTTGTTTCCCAGAACAGCAAGCGAGAAACATCGCTTTAGCCCACATGAAAGTCTCTCTTACTCTTACTCTTCTTTCTTTTTTCCTTCTTACTTGATACTCCCTCCATTCCAAAATATAAGTCTTTGCATAGATTTCACTATAGACCACATACTGATGTATATGGTCGCATTTTATAGTGTAGATTCACTCATTTTTCTCCATATGTACTCCCTCCGTTCCTAAATATTTGTCTTTATAGAGATTTCAACAAGTGACTATGTACGGAGCAAAATGAGTAAATCTACACTCTAAAATATGTCTATATACATCCGTATGTGGTAGTCCATTTAAAACCTCTAAAAAAACAAATATTTAGAAACTGAGGGAGTAGTTCATAGTGGAATCTCTACAAAGACTTATATTTAGGAACATAGAGAGTAGATGACACACAAAAATAACTTGATAGGGGCTCACCATGCGCGACGTAAGCATGTGACGAACTAGGCAAATTTTCTCGGCGCACTGCACCTTGCCGCCTTCTTCTCCTTCCCAGTGCTATCATCATCCGCATCATCACTCCTTCACTTCCAAACAAATGAGATCCGTGCGCGGTATACAATCTGCCAGTTCCCTCCTAAACGTGAAAGCATAGCTGCCCTTGAGCTTGACCACGACATCCGTGAAAATAACATGTCCAACATCATCTTTCTCCTTAGACAAAATCTGAGTATTGGTCTACCAGGATACGGACCACCCCACGACGTCTCAGGTTGATGAGATCAACGTCCAAGGTCTTCCCATTAAAGAGCCAACTGCGGAGAGACCCCAGAAGTGAGGAACATCCTCAACATGGAGCCAAACCTGCTTGAGTTCTAACTTATGTGGGATCTCCTGAGACTTTCATGCAGAAATAGGAGCTCCACATAATATGCAAAAATGCAAACAATAAAGCGAGAGAGAGCTGTCAGATTTTTTAGTGGATCTATTGAGAAACAAGCGTGGCAACAATGATCCACCGACTCCCTTAGGATGGATCTCAGAATATCTTGCCACAGAAAATAGGACCTACGTCTCACACTTACAATTGGATTAACTGAAAATTTCACACTTATAATTGGGTTAACTGAAATTGGATTCAGTAGTTAACTGAGTTGATGTTTGTTGCAGAGAATATGTCGGAAGAACTGGCGATGCTGGGACGATCTAGGGTACGCGGAGATTCGTCGCAGTCTTACCAACAAACCATTATTGACTCTAGCCCGCAAATGTCGATTGATGATTTGTTGAAGGAAATTAATGGAGCCAATGGCATGCCGGTGCTCTTCGTCCCTTCCTCCGATGGGCGGCTAGTGGCCGTGCCAGTACCCGTGAATGGCCTCCAGAATCTGGCCCTTGCAAATCGCGACCACGATGAGTCTGGCAAAAAGAAGCAGCAGGATTTCCGTGCCTGGCTACTGCTACTGGCTTCACTAATTGCCACCGTCACCTTCACCGCAGGGCTCACCCCACCTGGTGGTTTCTGGGGCGAGGACAAGGATGGACACATCGGTGGTAACCCAATTATGCGTGACAAATTTCCTAGGAGGTACCGCATATATGTGGGAAGCAACAGGATGGCCTTCTGCTTCTCCATGGTAATCATTGGAATACTCGCCAATAACATAGCTAACAAGCTGAGCAAACTCGTGAGGTTTTTTTTCTTCCCATTATTGGTACCTTGTTGTCTTCTGAGCTTGACGACTAGCTTCATCAGCGGCACGTGGGATTACTCTAAAGATGATACCTACTCATGTGTTACGTTTGTAGCCGCTTTTCTCAGTTTGGCCATTCTTTGGGGTTCGGGTTTGATCGAGCCGATAATTGAAAGACACGAGCGATCCACGGAATCCTCCGCTTAAGAGGTCAGTTATGTACTGTCGAAGAAACAACAAAATTCCTTACAGCAGCCTGAAACCTGAAAACTTATGTTCCTCGTGTGGTCATGTTCGTACATGTCCTTCAGTTGTAAGTGCCTAAGGACCCTTATTTCGCAACTCATTTGTAAGTGCATTTTGTTGCCGAACCTGTAGGAATTTCTTCCCACGGAGCATCTATATATATATTTTTAAGTGATTTTGAGTCCCGCTTCGGTACAACCCTCCTCATAAAACGTATAAAGGGTAATATGTACTTTTGACAAATCATATCGCACTTCAGTATGTTTTTTTTTAAGAAAACGCACTATAGTATGTATACTTGAGACCTCCTGTACCTCGCGCGCCTAGGCCGGCCCATTAAATCACATCTGTCAGTTCCCGCGCGCCTAGGCCGGCAGAGATGATGAGGACCCGACTTCATTTCCTCACACTACAAACAATGGCTGCTTGCCACTCGACCCAGCGACTTGACGTGATTTATGACAGCGCAAATTATATAAGAACCACGCAAAATCGTTCATATATAGAACAATTTCCGGAATAGTTGAAACTTTCCTTGAAAAAAATGTGAACACTTTGCAAATGCCAAATATGTTTTCGAAAAAGCAAATAATGTATGAAACTCCAAACCTTTTTTATAAAAACAATAATTTTGAAATTCGAAATCACTTTTATAAAAATGTGACGAACTTTTGAGATTCCGGAAATTTTTCAAAAAATGTAGACAGTTTATAAAAATGCATAAAATTTCCAAATTCCAAATGTTTTTTGAAAAAACATAAACAAATAATCAAAAACACGATATATTTGCAGAAACACGAACATTAATTGAAAATATTTTTTAAAGCTCCGACGATTTGATTTGTCAAGAATTTTTTAAAGTGTGCACATTTTTTTAAATCCCGTTTTTATAATTAAAATTGAAAATAGGAATATTTTTTTAGAATCTAGTGTTTTAAACTGCAGATATTTTTTAATTTTCCTTGACATTTCTTGAATTACGAACAAAATTTGAAAACGCAAACATTTTATAAAATTTGAACAAAAACATCATATCATGAACTATTTTTGAAATTTCCAAACATTTTCCGAAAACATGAACAATTTTAAAAAAATGCAAACAGTTTTAGAAATTCTGAACAAGGGCCCAACGGGTGCGATATAGTCGCGTAGTCGGGCCAAGGCCTAAGCATTTTTTTTCTATTTTTTCGTTTTTATTCTCCTTTTTTGGTTAATTCATTTTTCTCCTTTTTTAAAACCTGTTCAAAATTTTAAAATATTATTTGGAATACAAAAATAACACTTTTAAGGAAATGTCTAAAATTATGATTTAAAATTCTTATTTCCGTCAAACATTTATTGTATGCTTTTTTAAGAAAAACATTTACTGTTTTCAATTTATCATTTTGTATTTATTAATTATGTTAAAAACTTAAAATAATAGTATTAAGTACCCTTTTAAATTATGATTTTAAATACATTTTTCTTTTAAACGTAGCATGAATGCCTACCGTGGGCATGCCCACTTTCTCGCAAGTTGTGATCATTTCAAGAATGTTCCAAAAAACACCATGTTCATCGTATGTCTTGGTATGCCAGAAGAGCACGTTGTTTCTCAACATCCGTCACATGGCCTCAATTTTTTTCGGTGATTTGTATGATAAATTCAAGGCAGCATGTCAAGTTGTTTTGATTTTTGATTTTTTTTGCATTTTCTAGAGTTTTCTCGGTCAAAAGAAAAACAGATAAATGGTCAGATGTGCCACAACTTGTCTATGGTGTCAGAAATCATTTAAACCTAGCATGAATTCATACCATGGGCACTCCCACCTGTCTACAAAAATTGAGGTCATTTTAAGAATATCCAAAACTAAATCATGTTCAATGGAAGATATCCGAGTAGGCCAGCCCATGTTGTGGACTGCCTGGCGCAGCTCCCTGGCCGCTCCCATGTGGTACGCAGCTACTAGGTCGAGCCATTCGAGCGCGAGTGCTGCCTGGCGTGCCGCACGTACCATCGGGCGCCGGTTCCTCCTGCGCGGATGACACAACGGAACTTCGTATGGGTTTACTGACGTGGATGCACTTACCGGACCTGTGTCTAGCTGATTGTGGTCATCTGGATCCTCCTCGTCCACTAGCTCGCACATCAGCATCATATCCCCATCGTCTTCATCCTCCATGAGCGCGCGCTGCTTCGGTGCTTCTTCATAGTCAGATGTGAAGTGATCGAGGAGGCCACACTTATGACACCTCACTTTTCTGATGTCAAACTTCCTCCTCAGTGGTGCAGACGCATCCTCGTCGTCCGAATCGCCGAAATGAAACACAACATCGGTTGGCTTCTTGCATCTGCCTCTATTTAAGTAAGGCCATACGCCGGGCAAGAACCACACCACACCTCCGCCCGCAATTTAAACACACTTATTTTCCTGAACCAGAAGCGCAAGAGTTGCCCATGGCTCAGAATTTAATTGACAATTCATCGTACCATGGTGCAAGGTGATCTAGAACTGTAGAACATATACAATCTTGGAAGGAAGTGCTAATATATCTTGATCATATCATTATACCATCACCCAGAAGAGTGCGAGCATGTCAGGTTTTGTGCATATGATAGGGCAAAAGAACATTGTGAGCATGTCAGATTGTGTGCATTTCATAGGAAAAAAGTGACCAGGCCACTGTGATCACTCGCCTACGGCCCTTCAAAATGAAGTTTTTCCGCACCTGGATATATAAGAGAGATAGAACTAATAACGAAGGAAAACAGTATTACTAAGCTACCAAGTTCAGGGTTGATTCAGATACTTGCACCAGTGGGCAACGGGCCATCTAGTAGCCGCAGTTACTACTGAAAAATTTCATAAAAAGCAGAGCAAAGCAGAGAAGATGCGATGCTCGTCAGTTTATTCGATTGTAAAAGAAGTACTTGTGTCTGTTCATCAGCCAGACAATGGTTAAGAGCTCGCCGCCGCAGCTGAGCTGCTTGGCATGGGAATCCCTGCTGCACTGGTCGGACGTGAAGGTGAGAAGACTTATCCATGAAACAAGAATGATCTGCAACATACAATCGAGGAGTTCTGGTTGTTCCCCGCGGTCCCTATGCTCTCTAACTTTTGTTTGTACCTCATCGGTGAATGCGGGAATGAAATCTTCAAGTTTGTGAATGTATTGGCCCTGCATCGGATGTCGTCCATAATTTCCCGGCTCTAGCTCATCTAACAGGTTGAAGGCCCAGTAAGCACCAATCCCGAGAGTATCGTTTCTGTCATAAAGATGACTTGGTCTTCCAAGCATGTAGCTGCCCTCAGTGGCATCCATCTCTAGAAGGATGTTGGCGAGCTGCTTGGTCTCTCTTATTGTTGGAGAACTGCTGGTTCCTCTTTCACTCCATATCTCCTCCAAATCGAGGCGGGCCTTTTTGTAGTGGACACCCTCGTCACCCTGTTTCAATACCATGTGCTGGCGTTCAGCGAGGAGGAACATCATGTAATCTGATATTGCTCGTATCTGCTTCTCGTATTTGGCTGATGCTTCACTTTTTATAGAAGTCGGCTTGCACAAGAGGAAAATATCCGTGGCGACGTGCAGGGCGATGAGGTTACTTTCAAAACTATAGTTACTGGCATTAGACCTCATATAATCATCGAGTTCGCTTATGGGACGCATCCCGACGAGTGTGCGAGATTCCAGCAGTACCTGTGTACACACAGCTTCCAGCAACTCATCCTTGACATCGGTCTTCTTCTTCCCAAGTCCAGTGAAGAAAGAAGAGATCAGTTTCTCCAGTTGGCCCCGAGGGCGAGGAGTACAGGTACAACACTCTTGCAACAAATTGTGTTGCCCAACGCCGGACAACAACCTATGGCCACTTGGGCCGCTCCTCAGTGAGAGACGGGACGTATCCAGAGAGACGAGGAGGCGACGGACGCAATACCATGATTGCATTGCAGCTTGACGTGGCAAATTGTCCGGGAAGGTCCGTCGAACCGGAAGCAGCCATTCTTTTCCTTCCCCTTGCTCTACCAAGAATGCATATGTCCAGGTGGACCCTAGTGCTCTCAGCAGCCATCTCACATCCAACACCAGGGTACCAACAAGCAAGGTGTATGTGACTGTCCGATCTGCACTCTCCATGGCCTGGCCCTCCTTACTGTGGAAGAGATAGAGCGCCGTGGCAGTTGCCGGCGGCGAGAGGACACGGATGATGTAGCCGGCCCACGTGCGGATCACACTTGCCTTGGTGTACAACATGTCGTACATGAGCGACGCCTCCATCTCAACCACCTCGCTCACATCCTTCCAGCCAGAATAAGATGGGACATACCTCCTGCGGTTGAGTTGATAGTCAGCGAAGGCACCCATGGTGACACCGACAAGGCCGTGAGCATCAAGCAGGGCGTCATCATTATCCCACTTACGGCCTTCGTCCTCAAATGTGAAGCGCCGTAACTTCTTTCTCCCGGCTGAGCGACGAATGCTGTCAAAGGAAGCTCGCCGTAGCGCAACTGCCCTCTCCACGTACTTATAGGAGCCCAAGAAGAGCATGATGAAGAAGGCGGCTCGTAGAGCCGCGTCGCCGCGCATAAATCTTTGCTTGTATGAGCCATAGATAGCTCCTCCGATTTCAAGGACGAGAACAGCCTTTTGGGTCGGCGACAACTCATTGTGCTCCAAGGCGTAGCTGGTGATGTTGTCCGGGCGACCAAGGTGCAGCAGGAGAAACGGCGCCCAGAACGCAAACATCAGCTCCTCGCTAACAGCGGTCGCGGTGTCGAGAAACACCTTGCCGAGGGCGATTGGCGTGATTATCTCGGTCACGTGGTACGCCACCCAAACCAGAGACATCCGCACACCGGAGTCTCTACGCCGACGGATCCCGGATAATTGGGCCAGGGTAAGATGCGCGAGGTGGCTCACAATGACCAAGACCCGGGTCACCCGTAGACTCAACCGCTCCTGGCTCTCCTCGCCCATGAAAAATCCAGCCATACCCGATAATTAATCCTCCTGCACTCAAACCATCTAGGTTAATACATGCATGCAATCATCTAGTCCTAGATCAACCAGTTTGTTGGTGTATTTGCATGCCAGGGAGATTAGGATATCATACCGCCGTGAAGGCTGCTCGATGAACTACTAGTAAATTATGAGATTCACTGTCGGTTGATGAAGACGCACGCTAATCACTCCACTTAATTTCCGACATATCACAGGATTTCTCTCAACTTCAGAGTGAAATTCGAGATACAAATCTTGATACAAGGATAGCTGGGGTGGGCAGGAAGAACAAGTGAGATGAGAATAGAGTTCTTCCTTCAGAATATGGTTCAAAAGTGGGCCCAGGAATGAATGGATACCATGTTTCCTTTCTCTCTATCCTCTCAAGCGTTAGCGTAACCAGCCACGGTCATGCGGCCCCTCTCACACGGTTTCTGCCCAGTTCTTTTTTTTTAGCATCAGTACAGACATAAGCGCTAGCCACCGTAGGAGCGTCTCCTCTCTCCTCCCACTGAAAGCGCATCGCCGGAAATCCTGAAATAAATCCGGGAATAATGCGAGCACCAGGATTTGAACCCTGGTGGGTTGGGGATACCACTTTCCACCTAACTATGTCAACCACAAGTTGGTTCGCGTTTCTGCGCAGTTCTATCAAGTACTACCTCCGTGTTGCTTTATTGGTCACCTTTGTAATTTATGCTAAACTTTGACCAAAAATTTAACTGACAAAATGTTAGTGCATGTTAACAAAAATCATATCGTTGGATTCGTATTTGTATATAGTTTTCGATGATGTAATTGCATCAATATTTTATTAGTCAAATTTATGGCCAAAATTTGGCACGCGTTACCATGGGGACCAATAAACCAGGACAGAGGTAGTAGGAGCATGGACAAAAAAAAAGGAGCATGGAGAAAGAAACACGGCTTTCTACACTGTTTGACACTATTTTCAAGGATACACCATGAAAAGGTGTATCAATATCACAGAAGAAAAGCCAAGCGGCTGATACAACGCCTTTCAGCAATTAGTTCACAACACCATGACTACAACGCCAAGAGATCAAAGACCGTGCCTCGACCAACACCTGATAGCTATGGGCATAACCCCGACCACATCTCAGATTGCTTCAACACAGTATTCACCCTTCACACCTAGGAGTCGGCAAATCAACAGCAGGAACCAGCCAGAATTGAAGAATGAATTGTTGCGCGTGCCCGAGAGCTCATGCCCACAGCAGAGACCAACACCGAACAACACATTGCCCCAATCCTCGCCGAAGCGCCGATGAGGTCACCACCTAAAGCAACAACTCCAGTAGCCTCCATGCAGGGGCGGAACTGGAGCAAATCTTACCCGATGCACCACTTTAACAAGGCATAAAATTTTCAAGCGTGGATGTATTGAATAAATGTGTGTTTCATAGGTTTAGCACACATTATTGGATATAATAGAAGTGATTTGTAAAACCGAAATGTAGCCATCAAATTTCTTACTATAATGATAAAACAAGGGACATAACTACATGAAATGTAGCCCAAATGAAAGTACTGACATTGCTAAAAATTGAAAATTACCTTAGTATGTTTCTATCCATCCAGGCCATGAAATACTCAACCATTTGAGCATTGGTGACCCTTTTCATTTCTTCCTTCTCCACATAACAGATAATATCATCACTCAAACTTTCATCATTGACGCGATTGCCCTCATCATATTGAATGTCCTCTTAGCAATTTATGTCTTCTGGCATGTGATGGTGCATTTCTTTTGATAAGAAACTTGTCCATAGTATCTGTATTTGACAAATATAAATTATAATGAGACATGGAGAATTGTATAGGCAAATAAAATATAACCTAACTAGAAGTTATAACCCTAGAAAATACTCCATGCTTTTACCAAAACATAGTGATTTACTATATTCACTACAAGTCTATACATGATTGTTGAAGTTTAACAAAACTAGGAAAAGCAAGACAAAGGCCCTACCACAATTTTGGCCTTTTGTAATTTATCATCTATGGACGGACACAGAGACAAACATTCAAGATTGGAATCTGGAAAGGATGCGAAATTACCGAGCACCGGACGGCGTGCAACGTTGTTGCTCGTGTGCGTCGCTTCGTCACCGTGTGAGGACTCAGGCTGTGTGGCGTCCGGCGGCCGACGCGCTGCCGCCGCCGTCTCCGGCGGCTGTGCGGGACGGCGACGCGCAGGCCGCGTATGGAGTATGGTAGGCTGGGTTCCTACGCGTAACGCAGAAATCGATCGATGGATTGATTATTTTTTTTCTAGTGGAAAAAAAGTGGATAGATTAGGTTTGCGTACGTGACTACGTGAGGAGATTCTCTTTTTTTTAGACAAAAACTACGTGAGGAGATGGATGCGCAAGCCAACCGTTGTGCGTGCGTTAGGCCAGTCCGGAGGAGTCGGGAGTGGCTGGAACGGGCTGACCCTGATGCACAGCTCTTGGGCCACCCTGATGCACTGGGCCTTTTTAACTAATAGGTACTGCTAGCGATTTTTTTCACCCGTATTCCAGTGCATACGGGTCAGCCCAATGGGCTCCGCCCCTGCCTCCATGGGCACCCATGCAGCACCTCCAAGGAAGGGACGACGCTGCAACGCCGTTATTACCTGGCCAGCAAGCCGTCCTAAAGTTTTCCCTGGTGCTTCTGCAGGGCCTGAACATGGCCAAGACGACGCCTTCAAGGAGGAGACGGTACCCGCAGGCGTCGTTGTCGTCTGCAACGGCTGCCGCCACGCAGGGAATTCTCCCAGCCCAGTCAGTGCCCCTAGAAGACAACCCGAGCAGCGCCATTGTGGTCATGGACTATCTTCCTTCCCCAGCCTCACACGGTTTGATGACCCGCAGTAGAAAGATATTTTCGTGTTACATTTCGGTTAAGAGAAATGTGTCTTCGCGTTGCACAAATTCAGGAATCCACCAACATACTCCTCAGCTACTACGATCCCCGTGAACCAACCTGTGGTAAGATGGTTAGGAGGACTGTGGTATCCCTAACCCATCAGGGATTAAATACTAGTTCTTGTATTTTCCTGGATTTATTTCAGAATTTTCGGCGATGCGTGTTCAATAGGAGGAGGCGTTCCCGTCGACTAGGAGGTGTGTATGGTGACTTAGTAAATCTCAAGATATCATGCTGGTTCAGCCTCTCGAAAGAGCTCATAGGTATAGGGTGTGTACGTTCATAGGGATGACTGTATGCGGGTATATATGAGCGTTAGCGTTTGTATTGTGTTAAAAATAGCTGTTGCAATCCCGGTCACATATGAGTGAAATTAACGAATGTAGTGTCAGTGTAGTAAGTATATACTCCTTCTATTTACAAATATAAGATGTTCTTATTTTTTTCCGATTCGTATGTATGTAGACATATTTTATGTGTTTCTTCACTCATTCTAGTCCGTATATGTATATTGTACCAAGTTCCCGAGAGCTTTGTGGCAGAAAAGTCGTGTTGCCAAATATTTGTGTTTTTCTGCCGAATATTTGTGTCACTAGGGCATCTCCAACGATGACCCAAAAAATTGCTCAGGCATCCATTTGCGGACACAGATGCGGGAGCCAGCCATCCAACGCTGCTCGCGTATATTTCAACCAATGTTTGAATTAACCGAACAAAATGCATGCAAATACGACGGATTTCATATAAACCGAACGAAATTCATTACATTCATATAAACGGGACAAAATTCATTACATTTTTCATATAAGTCGGACTAAATACTGCTCCAAACCTAACTTAAATTATCGCCTGCGCCCATTCCCCATGTCCGGCCATGAGCCCCGAGAACTGAAGCTCCGGCTATTGCCTTGCCTTCTCCAGTTTTGCCTCGCCGCTCTCCAATTCCGCCTCTGTAACCTCCGCCTCTGTAGCCTCGGGAAGTGAAGTTGTTTGCCTCCGGAGCCCCGGTAAGTGAAGTTGTCCGCCTCCACGTCGCCGCCAAGCGGCTAATTGGCCGGCGATGTTCGACCCACCAAGCTTGGCTTCAATGGAACGGGAAGAGCGGTGGCCTTCTTGGGACCAAAGGGGCGGCGACCTAGCATACACTACTCTTCCTCACTGCTGGCAACGCCCGCGGACGTGCCGGCTTCGTGGTTGTGGCAGCGGGGCGCCGCCTGGGAGGACCTGGCGACGTCCTCCTCGTTGCCGCTCTTGCCCCATACGTCATCCGCCGCCTCGTTGAACTCCCTGTAGGTGGCCGTCAATTCCGCCTGATGGAGGCGGTACCATCATCGGTCTCGGCAGATGTAGCGGGCAGAGTGTAGGAGTCCACCAGTGCCTCCTGCTCCACCACATCCACGTTCGACACGATGGCCGTGCTGGCGGCTAGTTGCTCCTCTGTGAGCCGATGCTCGTTGAGGAGGCCAGGGTTGTAGGCCAGGTCGGCCTGCGCCTGTCGGAACTTGGTCTCCTGCTCCTCTCGCAGCTTGTCCGTGTAGTGCGCACGAGCCTCAACCAATGGTGAGGCCGACATGCACCAGCGAGGAGGGTGGCGCCGACTCGTCCTCCACTTGGGGAATCGTGACCTCCGTCTGTTTGCCGACCTGCCAGCCGACAGCAATGCGGCCATCTCGTTCTTCTACTCCGAGGAGAGGGTGTCCCAGAGGGCTTTGGAGCGTGAAGAGGCCATGTCGGACGTGGTGCGGAGATGAGAGAGGGATTGGAAGAGGATGACCGCGGCTATGGCCGGGGATGGAGTTTATATAGCGGGCATATGGCAAATTGTGGGCAGCAGACGGACAAACGAGTTGCGTCGGAGTAGGTTCCTCAACAACCGCATATTATTAAGGACAATGATATTTGGCACATGTGTGCCAGATTGCTAAAAGTGCCACACCACTCTTCTCCCTTCGATCCCACCTCCTCCCGAGCGACCGCCCTCCTTCTTTTCAAGTCTGTAGTTTAAAATAGGCAAAAAGAAAGGCATTGAAGGGGAATCGAACCCAGACCCTCCCACA